CCCGTATACTCCCCCTATACTCCAACCCCAACCCCACCATACTCTCCCCCATCCCCAAAAGTTTCTCGGCGGATTTGGGCTGTACTCAGCAAGCGCAGTACAGCCCGAACTCAGATTTGAAAAAAATTCAGTGGATGGTTGTTTTCTGACTAGTCGGCAGACCGTCGACCGGTCGGCCCTACTGGTCAGCTGCAATACGGTCGGCGGTCGGGGTCGGCAGGGATGCAACTCTGATCCCCTTTCTAAATACATTTTTTTTAATCCCCTTTGGGCACTTTCTAAATACTTTTGTTTTAATCCCCTTTCTAAATAATTTATTTTAAAATCCCCTTTCTAAATACTCTTATTCTACTTTCATCTGGAGCTGCTGTAACTTGAACCTAGGCTCCCTGCAGACTGCAGCTACCGCTGGATGAGGCCCCAAAAAGTGTGCAGATGTGAACGGACTCTCCTGTGTGCTGAAGTGACAACAAATGGGAAGTTGGGAACATATGAAAAAAAAATACGAACTACGACAAAGCGCGCAATAGAGTCAAAATCAGAAGATTCAGAACAGACAAAGTCTGCGCACAATTAAGACACAGATAACAATAGAAATAAGGCAATGAAGAAACAGACAAACCCAAGATGCAAAAAATAAAAGTAACAACAATGTGGATTCCAAACTGCCCGTAGGTCCAAAATGGTGCCTGTCGGCCAAGATGCAGCCTTGGCCGGCCAAAAAGGTGCCCGGGCCCTTGGCCCAGTTTGGGAGGGGGTCTCCAACATGCCACACGAAGCCACAGAGTGAAATGGTGATGCTGCAGCTTCTTTCCTGTTTCTCTTTTCCTGTGTTTTAATTTTGAATAAACTTGGCCATGTTCTTCGTATGCACAGGACTATCTGGAGTATCGCAACTACTCCTTTGAGAGACTAGATGGTTCAGTCCGTGCAGAGGAGCGATTTGCAGCAGTTCGCAGCTTCAGTGCACAGGGTGATACTGATGGTCACAGAGCGGACTTCTCCGGAACTCACAATGATGAGCATGCAAAGGCTGCATTTGTTTTCTTGTTGACAACAAGGGCCGGAGGAGTTGGTCTCAACCTCACAGCAGCAGACACAGTAAGTCAGCGCATGCATACTACCTGAGAAGCCGTGTGTCAGAAACTCTGACGTCAGGCAAACATATACGTCATACTTGCAGCGCATCGAGGTGCGCGCCTCAGCGCACGTCTGATGCACCTCGCGCACCGCACGCGCCGTGCACCCCGATGCGGCGCACTCCGATAATTAGGGCACCCGGCACCCAAAAAAAAAAAAAAAAAAAAAAGGAGGG